AACATCTAAAGACAGCTTCAACTTTTTATTTTAAGAGTACAAGTGCAGAGAGCAGTTTCAGCCTTCTCTTTCTTGTTGCTTGCTTCTGTTCATTCTTGCATTCCATCAGTTAACATTTTATTCTTGCTTTCACCATGATCATCCTCAGTTCTCAAGTCTAAATAATGAAAAATATGAGTTTTCAACGTCTTTAGATGTTAAATTACCATCTGACCGCGTCAGGGACTTCGCGCTAACAACACAGATGTTGGGAATGGGTTGCAAAAGAGTATCAAGCAAAAGAACCGAACTTGCAATCAAAACCCGGTGCCCATCCTATGACCCTGCAAATTTACCACTGCTTGCGTCCAGCTTGACTTCTAGCTTCGCCTAGCTGGGCGACGAGTGTCCATGACGTGCGGCGACCCAGACGGAATCGATGGCTATAGTTTCGGGTAAAAGACCGATAAGCAAATACCGGGGCGGATATGTAATCAGCCTTCCATGGAAGTGTTCAACTATATACGGCTTGCTGAGACTAACCACTTCAAATTTTGACCATTTCCTTGTGAGTAATAGTTAATGAAAGTACAGCTATCAAAAGCGAAAAATGGGAAAAAAGAGATTTCTGGATCCAAAATCTCATTTTGGAAGTTTTTGAAGCGAGATATTTGACCATGAGATAACTAAAGAAGGAATATTGCTTGATTGTGTGTCAAAAGAAGTAGTTGCCTTATTTTCGAAACAAAGTTAATCATGTTCGAAAACGACCACATCACTAAGGTGACTCAACATCTGGAAACTTCACAATTCGCACAAACTTGGTCCAAACTTGGATCATTTGACATGCTAATTATGATATATTACTCATTGTGCTGGAGGGTCCCTTTATCATGTTACGGTGTAGGCATACGATGGCGTAGTCAATATCTCATTACTTGTATTTCCATAATGGGGTTACCCGAACAAACCGCTCACTAGTAACATGCTACCACTACTGTCAGTATTACTCAATTACGACTCTCCTTGCCTTTTTGACATCTTAAACGATCCCACAGTTGTGGCGCGCCATATCCACGCTTGACCCTGGCCTTGCCCTTTTTGACGGTGATCTTCCATGAGTATGTGCAGCTTCAAGATAGTCCAGCTAGTTTTGGGACAGCGTCAAATATCTCTCTCAACTGCTCATCTATTTAGCATAAAAATCTTGTATAGCGCTTCCAATCCTTAGCTCTCAATACTCTACAAGTTTGAATCTAGAAAATGTGCTGATTTAATGCTAATTTACCATATCACCTCCAGTCATATGTGCTAGCCGCAAGCTAAAAGGATTTGTCTATCCTTTCATACACCGCTAGTACGTGTCCTTTACCAATTTTATACATTTTGAAACTTCGAAAGTCATAGAAACGAAAATTATTCCTAATGATTTATACTAGGTGGGGGATGAACGGGGATGAACGTCACACTACCAGCGCCTGCCGCAAGAGAAGACATCACACTTTCAAGAATAAGTCAGAAATGCGCATGCGGTTCTCTCGTCATCGCGATAGAGTGAAAATCTTCGAAAATAGCTCGATTTACTTCGTGTTTATTTGGTTTCATCTTTATTTTTTTACCCGTATGTATAAAATGCGATTCAAAGAAGTGCAACCTGAGAGCATATGGAAGCAAATATGTCTCATTTGTAGTTTCTATATAAAACATATGCTCTGCCAGATGCGAAGTGAAACATCTCGCAACAACATATATTAATTAATGAGTAGCAGCTAATGCAATCACGCCACAAAACTATATCAAAACCTAAGACAACCAAAGACATTATTACGGAAAAAATAAAATTGAAAACAGACACCACTTACGCGGACCTCAAATTTGCGAAAATGCTTCGAATGGCGCGAGGTCGCGACGCGGTGGAAACTGCATTCTACTTTGTAGTACAACGTTAAGTCGACAGAATACAGTGTCCCAAATATCGTGCACGCGTTCAGTTGCTAGTATTTCTCTTGCTTAAATGTTTTCCTCCCATCTTCAATATCATTCTGTACAACCGGCTTGAACTTATACCGCTGTCCATTACTGTAGGATTACAGTAGAAGGTTTCGGCATGTGTTAAGCTGTCCCAAAATTAAACCCCTTTTTATAAATAATTCAAGCTGTTTTTGTTCCAGTAAACCTAGGATATCATTCGATAGAACAGATCAAGCTCTTCAATGTGGCTACAAAAGATAGTAGCATTCCATTTAAAATTTAAAGCCCAAAATCGAAAAAAATTCTCACCTGAAAATGAATTCTTGCGAGAAAGAATCCTACGGACATCCAACTTGGTCATTACAAGTAGGCACAGAGTAGTCTCAAAAATGTCTTTACTGGACTTTTTCCGCGCATAAAAACGAAAAAAAAGATACTTCAAAAATGGCAACGCCACCTCCCAACTCCCAATGTCATTGTATACTACAAGCCTTACTTACGAGTTGGTTCAATTTCAAAACTATAGCCTTGTGTGTGTGTTTTTATAAACGAGAAATATTAAGTTATACATGAAAAACTCGAAAGAAAGGGCACTTTGGCTTTATCACACCATATTTGTTTCTCAATTGAGCCCGGAAAAAATCCTAATAGAATACATTTTTGGGTACTACTATGTGTCTAATATATAGAGACCAAGTTCGGAGTCCATAGGAATTTTCTGGAAGGAAGTTTTTTAGTGTTGCTGAAGAAATTTGGTTTTTGGCTCCAAATTCTATTTGGATTACACTTAGTTGTATCTTTGGTGGCCTTTTTGTACAGCTTGTTTGCGCTCTATCGGAAGTTACATTAGGTCTGCGAGGAAAACAAAAACAGCTCAATTTAGTTGAAAATGGTAATTATGGGACAACCTAATAGGGTCACTGTGAAAAAAGCCGTCTGCCGAAATTTCCTTTGAAAGTGTGGAAAACTGCGTAGCAAGGTTTTCACGCTTGCTCATTTTACTGCACACTTTTGCGAGCTTTTTGAGCGTTCTCAGAGTATGATCACATTCTGGATTAGAATACAAATGTTACGGGAGAATACTACTCATTAATCAAGCATTACAGTGAAGTGCATTTCATATCTAAAGTCTGCGACTTTGATTAACCCTAGTGTAAAGCTTGTGACTTGTTTAGCTTATTTTGCGAGGCAAAATATGATTGTCTATGCCCTAAAATCATTCTTGAAGTTCCTACCGTTATTCTGCACTGATGAAGAGCGATCGGAAATTCGCTCGTACAATAGGTCTAACAAGGGAACGACCCCAACTTAAGGCGGCCATTTGGACCGAACTGCAAGTCGTTAGATGCGCCTTGATGAGCTGATTTCAAATCTTCCTTCCTTATCTGCGATGCCCTTCTCTGGAAAAGTTATGAGCTTTCAAAGATTCAAATTTGGAGAACATTCTGCGTTACATCTTTGAGAATCAGTTGTTCAAAAACACTTATCTGCGTCTCTTTTATGTGTAAGCTTCCCTTGAAATTGGTACACTAAATGGCTAGTCCTGCACTCCGAAGTTGGATCTTTAGCACATCATGCATTAGAGCTCCAGTAATTTTATGATTTGAATGTGGTTAAATGTGGGAATCACTAAATTCCTAATGCATAATGAGCTCTATCCAACTTTCAAGCGCATGTCGAGCAAGATATCAAGTGTACTGATATCAAGGATTGCTCACGTTCACCGGAGACACGGTAGGTGTTTTTGAACAACGTTCTTGAGCATGTGGCGCCAAATGTTTGCCAAAATTGAACCTTCAAACGCTTAAAATTTTTTCAATGATCCGGCATCGCAGAAGGAAGATAGGTTTGGATCAAGGCAAAACTTTTGTGTACTGCTTCCAAGCAGCTCTTATAGAGAAATCTCGAATGAAAAGATTATGACAATATTAGAAAATCCCCCAAGCTTCAATACTATCTGATCATCCTCTTTTTCATTTCGTTCAATTCCTCCTTTTGTGCATAAACATGATCAGACAAAATTGACCAAAAGCTAAGGTCTGCTGTAGCTCAAAAACAACCTAATCAATAGTCTACAGCTTTGCATAGTCGAGGGAAAATATTAGCAACCGAGAACTTTTGGGTAGAATGTGATCAAACGCAAGCTTTGTTTGCTTCCTCTCTGAAAAGGCGATTACCGGTATTTTTTTGTTTCAGAGAAAAAAAACTGATGAATTTACAGTTGAACAAGCGATATAGTTGATGACAGAGTTGTGCATATTGTGCACAACTTTTTTATGTTTTATTTTTGACTTATTCTGCGACATTGTCTCTTACAAATCCCTAGGAACTACATAGCTGAGAAATCAAGATTATTGGAAACTCGTAATTTCCCCTGCACTCACAAGGAAAGGAAGGTGGGTCGAACTGGCTTTTTAAGATGAAACGACACTATCTTGCAAGCCTCGAAAATCTGATTCCATATCTACTTTGCTAGCGGGCTTCTGGATGAGGAGTTATGAAGGTTTTTGTGGGTTGACATGTAAATGCAAGATTAGGCAGGTCGTTACCTTTTCTTAACGTTCAAACGAAGCAGCAGCAAGCTGTCTAATTTAAGAATATTTATTGCACCGAGTGACCCGACTATCAGTTAAGCCTTAAAAAAATGTTACGTGTGATTTTTAAACTCCTCGCTCAGAAGCCCTCAGCAGATTGCGAAGGCAGATTTGGAATTAGCGTTCCAAGCTCTATGAGACAATTTACAACTCATCCTAAAAGTCCGCACTTCGACCAACCTTCCTTCCCTTGTCAGAAGATTATTCGTTTGGGTAGAGGACTGACTATATGCCACCGAAAGTGGGAGGGTCCCGCGCGGACGATGCAGTAGATACTCAGCCTGTGCATGTACTAAAAGTTGTATTTGTCGCAGATGTCCGGCTGGACCTCCCATTTAAGTCGACGGGTAGTCTTCTACCCCATTTGTTTTTCTGTCAAGTTATGTTAAAAAAGTTTCGTCTGTTCGTCGTTTTATCAAACGCTTTATGTACCGCTTACTTTCTCAAAATATTTTTTTCCAGAGACTTTACGTCAGTTCGACAGAATGAGAATTTTCAAACTTACCTTCTTGTTGCTTACCATCTTAGTGGTAGGTTGACCAAGCAAGACATGACTTAGTTTGCGCTATTATTACTCCTTAGACTTACTGACTGTACATTACTTTGATGCTTACAGATTCTCTCTGCTGTGAACGTTGGTGAATGCGGAGTCAAAGACTTTCTCAGAAAAGCTGGAGAAGTTGCCGTAAAAGCTGGAGAAGGGATTGGAAAAGGGGTAAAAACAGTTGTAAAAACCGTCGTAAAGGTGGAAAAGGCGATCGATCACTTTGGAGGAAAAACAGTTCCTAAACTGTTAGACGCTGCTGAGAAATTCACAAAACATTGATATTTCGTGCTCGATTGTCGATAAACCCTTGCATTGTGATTCAAGTTGTAATACATGTTTACGCTGCCGACCAAGGTTGATAGCAAGACTTTATTACTCGATACGCCAACGTTAGCGGTCCGTCCGTCTTCATCAGGGCTTCTTGAAAGTCAAGACTTTGAGGACTGCCCGCTATTGCCCTGTTTTGCAGTAGACAGTATAGCTATCTGGTGGGGTGGCAGAATATATGTGTAAGCTTGACTTCACCTTTTCAGATCGGGATATAGAGACCGAACAGTTAGTACTGCGCTGCAGCTGCGCCATGAGTGAGTATGATAGTCGGTGTCAATAACGCCCTTATATGTTTACATAAGATCTCGTATTAGTGTTGTATAGTGTTTAGTGTTTGATAGGAGAACAGTTCGCTGTTTATGGCATTGCTTTCATCTTTGTGGTTCACTTTTGGTGGTTTAGACGCTATCCAAAAGGCCTCCAATGTTTTGCGGGATATTAACTCTGATTCGTGCGACAAGATCGTAACAGTGATTTGAAAGTAGTGATTCTCATGACATGACCTTAGATGTGCACCCAAAAGTATTGACATTTTGCACTTTCTAAGGCGTCAAGATGTTGTCCTTTGATTCATGTGCAAACGGTCTGCCGGTCTCTTATGTAGCTATCTGGTGGGGTGTATGTATGTATTGGTAACCGCATTTTTTGACAGGTTGCGAGATATACCACTCTTAATTTCATAAGGTCGCCTGGTTTTCCCAGAGCTCAGATCATAGTCGGTGGTCGCGCACATTATGTCATACGCTCGATTTAGAATTAGAGATAACTTAAAACTTTGACGGAATCATCGAGGCCCTCTTGGAACAAAGATTTTCTTATAGCTTTGCTAGAATCATCAGATAAGAAGAACACAAATCGTATTTTCGTTGCTGATTCATTTCGATCGGTCTGCTTTCTTGCCTACAGGTATGCACTGGTGCACCTTTTGCGGAATAGCCGTTAAAACACGCAGTCTCTTTGACAAGGTTCATCGATGGATTGCGCTGCAACGTTGGATGAAATTGATTTCGCTGTCTTGAATATCTTGCCTATCACGGACGGTTTCGTGCTCCAATATTGCACAGAGCGGTAGTGAATTAATATACTCTTATTGGCGTTTGCGGAGCCATGTAGTTACGTATGATCCGTAAGATAAAGACATTGGACGTTTAAAAACGCTAGCCAATTTTCGTCGGATTTATCCCGCGTGAATTTTATGTTAGGGGATTGGCTATTCAGAATGTCAAAGCATGTCTATCTCACTATGAGTTGGACATAGAATTCAGCAGTGTCAATGTATCCATAAAAGAGCAAGGGCTTAAAGCAAGTACGGGTTTTTCGATCTTTGACATGAAGGCGATTGCACGACGGGAGTCAATCTTTGCTCTTTCGCTAGGCCACGTGCCTGCTTGTAATACCTTCCTGACCAGCAAGATATACTGCAATCCAGACTTTTTCGAAAGTGTCATGATTTGTCCAACACTGAACCCATATATTTTGAGAGCAGATTGATGTTCCGAGAGTATCTCAAACATGGCTTCCTTAGCATCATCCTCGGAGACTTTTGTGTACAATAGGTGATATAAATCTCAATCGCATTCTCCATTGACAAAAACATTCTAGTATTCGGAAGATGGGAAAGACAGGCACATGTTTAGTAATTGTGTTACGATCAATTCCAACAGCCATGAGATTCTATCATCCGGGCCACCGCAGCTGCTTATAATGAGTCTTACTTTATTAGTCTGTGGACTTTCAGAAAGAAATTCTAACACAAGGAGTTTGTGTGTCTTTATCTTATATATAAAGCTGAATGTCTGTTTGTCTGTCTGTCTGTATGTATGTATGTATGTCTGTGTGTACGTATGTTCCGAATAGAAAATTCCATTTCTGAACCGATCCGGACCAAACTTGGCACACATACACTTCGGGCCCCGGCGGGTGTCATAGGCTACTTTTCGTCATCGATCCATATCGATTTTATCGATTTTTATCGATTTTTTGCTGAGTTCACCTACGGGGCTGGGAGTTGGCACAGGGGGGTAATCGAGCATGGGAATGCCGAATACAATATTGGTTTTCAGGATTATCGATTACTTTTATCGATTTTATCGATTTTTTTGCAAGGTTTGAGTTACGGGGCTGGGAGTTGGCACAGGGGTGTAATCGAGCATGCTGATCATCCCCAAGGGGGGTGATCAGCATGCTCGATTACACCCCTGTGCCAAATTCCAGCCCCCTAGCTCAAATTTTCAAAGAATCGATAAAATCGATAAAAGTAATGGACGATCTTGTAAACTAATATTGTATTCGGAATCCCCATGCTCGATTACCCCCCCCCCTGTGCCAACTCCCAGCCCCGTAACTCAAACTTTGCAAAAAAATCGATAAAATCGATAAAAGTAATGGACGATCCTGAAAACTAATATTGTGTTCGTAATCAGCATGCTCGATTACCCCCCTGGCAAAATCCCAGCCTCGCATGTCAAAATTTACAAAAAATCGATAAAATCAATAAAAGTAATCGATAATTCTGAAAACTAATATTGTATTCGGAATCCCCATGCTCACTTCCCTCCCTGTGCCAACTCCTAGCCCTGTAGGTGAACTCTGCAAAAAAATCGATAAAAATCGGTAAAATCGACATCGATCGATAACGAAAAGTGGACTGTGACACCCGCCGGGGCCCGAAGTGTATGTGTGCCAAGTTTGGTCCGGATACGGCGGGGCCGGGTAAGCCAGCTAGTTAGCAATAAATAAAGGATAAAGGATTCGGCATCTTCAATACCCAAAGCGGGCATGCGCCGAACGCACACTACTTTATAGTCGAAGAGGCAACTGTATGCCTGCGAGCCTAAAACAGTGACTTGCGGGGGTCAGCGGTTTCCAATTCACTGCTTTTATTCCCCCAGATTACTCTGGTACCAATTTACCGGCCCCAGAGGGTAGAGGGCTTGGTTCGCCCAGGGGCGGGGATCGAACCTAGGTCCGTTGTCATAGCGGCGCCTCATTCCACTACGCCACTCGTCCCTCTATCATGGCTTATAATAACGGGCTAAGGATGTTTACGTGACTTTGTGTGTGTGTGTGAGTGTGTCTGTTACGAAATTCGTGGAGCGTGTTCCAGCCAACGTTCTAAGCCCAAATTTTGTATAGCGCATGCTACCTTCGCGAAAGTCCAACATGCAAAAGCACGAGTAGATTCGTTGAGTGGATCCCTCAGAATTTGCGCGCCAAACGGGTCCACCTGGCTTCTGTACCGCAAAAGTCGGTCCGTATCACCACTTTTTGCAGAGTCGTGGATGAGTTTGGTAAGCAAATGTGCAAGCGATGGAGTTTAGCCAGAAAAGTGGTCGAAAGTTTACTACATAACGAAAACGGCGCCACAACGAATTGGTTGTGTAAGTGGTCAATTTGCCAAGGTTCTAGCTAAGCGTTTGAGAAGATTTTCGCACAGAGATGTAGCTCACGGTTATCGTTACCTTTATGGTGACTACCAAGTCATGACAAACCCAAAAACCTATTCAAATTTGCGTTTGTCTTCCTGCGAAAAGTTTCATCCACTCGAAATCACCGATCTCATGTAAAAAGATTTTCTAAATGAGTGGTTGTTTACATTTTATTCGTGGTAGTTGGCATAGTGCGGTGAGTTCCACTGCCACGATTTTACGAGAATGAATAAGGCACATAGATAGTAGAGCCAGTGCGAACCTCTGCGAAGCAGAGGTGACGCACTGGTTAGCAATAAAGGGCTAGACATTTGTGTAAGTCGATTTTGAGATGCGATATCAACAATACAGAGTGCTATCATTCAAATGGTGTTCACTTATAGCCATGTCTAAGCCATTTGTCATCAGACGAATTCCCCTTCCTTTTCTCCTATTTCCTTTCTAGTGCATGAATTATGAAGTTTACTCAAATCGCGAAGTTGAATGAGATTGAGATTACTAGTGATATGCTTTTTTGAAAACTTGTTTCTTATTTTTTTTTGCTGCATATTTTTGAAGCGTTAGAGTACTGAAGATTGATCGATCGAAATGAACCAGTCAACAAACATACTGTTTTGTGTTCCATTCATATCTGATGATTTTAGCAGAGCTATCAGAAAATCTTTGTTTCAAGCGGAAATCGATGATTTCATCAAACTTATGATACCCCTACTTCTATTCTCAAAAAACAATTACCGCAATCATCGTATTACAGACTGTGCACGACCGCTGATTGTATTACCTGACTGGAAAACCAGGCGACTGCATGGAATAAGGAGTGGGATATCTCATAACCCGTCAAAAATGCGGTGACCAATACATAGGAGAGACCGGCAGACCCTTGTGCACAAGAATCAAAGGACATCTTGACGCCTTAGAAATTCTAAAATGTCAACACATTTGGGTGCACATCTAAGGTCATGTCATGAGAACCACTACTTTCAAGCCACTTTACAATCTTGTCGCACTAATCCGAGTTAATAGCCCGCAAAACATTGGAGGCTTTTTGGATAGTGTCTTAACCACCGCAAATGAACCGCAAAGATGAGGGCATTGCCATAAACAGCATACTGTTTTTCTAACAAACACTTCAAGGTTTCTAATCTAATACGAGATCGTCTATAACCATATAAACATAGCGCAGTACTGGTTGTTCGGTCTCTATATCCCGATTTGCCAATTCTAAAGTCAGGCTTGCAGCAGCTATTCTGCCACTTCATCACATAGCTAAACTGAATCTATTGCCAAACAGGGCAATAGCGGGAGTTTTCAAAGTCTTGATCTTTCAGAAAGCCCTGATGAAGGAGGACGGACCGCCGAAACGTTGGCTTATCGCGTAGTAAAATCTTGCACTAACCTTGGTCGACAACTTAAAGGCCGTATTACAACTGGTATATTGATAGTTTCCCTTTGTGCACATCAGCTTTCAAACAAGGTGATTTTCACAATTTCAACTTTTTCAACACGAGTGTAAATAGTGTTGATTACATTTCC